TTTTTCCACTACGAGAATTCTTGAAGAAAGAAGAATTAATCTTCAACCTGAAAAGGTAGATATGCTTCTCTTTCTTCATGATAATTTGTGAATTTTTAATATCTTTCTTGAGTATAGGGTTTCGTCAATCATGCTGGTTTTTTACTTTGCAAACTGTCAAATATTTATTGCATTTATTATATTTACCTTGAGTCATGAAAGTTTTTAATCCAACATTTTTCATTATTTTTTTTTACAATATTATATAATAATAATATTCTCAAAATATTAGCTTTTTTACATGTATTTTTTAAATAATAAGCGATAATACTCTCTGCAAAATATGGTAAAATACCTCATAGGTGAATTTTTGTATATACCAGGTCGAATATAATTTTAAAAAATTCCGAGTAAAAATTTTTTTCAAAAATATCCGGGCCTTAAATTTTTAAATCCGGGCCGGGCCGTAAAATTTTTTAAAAAATATCCGGGCCAGGCCTAAAAAATTTAAAACCGGGCCGGGCCGTGCAAATGGTACCTCTGCAGGTCTCTGGTAAATATAGATATCTAAGCTATTTAAAACGGTTAACTAAATATTTTAGCCACAAAAAAGCTTCGAGATATCGCGAATAGATGTCCAAACTGTCCTAGTTTTATACAATTTATTATTAATGATTGTATAATTTATAATTAGTACTTGTTTAATTATTAAAATTAAAATGTTTTTGTATAGAAATGACAATCAACATTTATGGTTGATTGGTTAAAAAAGAACTATAAAAAAAATAATGATTTGAATAGAAAATTTTGTGATAATTTTTTACATTATTGACTTTTGACTTTACATTTTTAGGAATTATCGTTTTTTGTAATCAATTGAAAATAATTTTTATGAGAATTTTAATTTATTTCATGAAAAAGATATCATGTTTATAGTTTTTTTATATATATTAAATATAATAAAGTTATATGAGTTTTTGATTAAGTTTTTGGGAGAATTTTTAAGAATATATATAATTTTTTTATGTTAAATTTTTAAGAAAAGATATAACTTTTATACAAATCTTTGTACCATCTATGATCAAATCTTCAGATTTGCTTAAAAAAGAATATAGAGAAACAGAGCTAAAAAATTTATTGAGCTGATATAAGATTTATATGCAAATATATAATGATCGTTAAATTTTAATAATTCATATAAAAAATATATAATTAAATTATTATAATTTGTTAAATAAAACTTTTTCAAAATTTTTATCACAGAAAAAAACGGGAGTTATTACAAAAAATTAGCTAGGTGAGTCTTCTCAATTTAATTTTATTTCTAAAAAAACGAAAATAAAAATTATTTTTTAATTTAAGGCGATTATGAAATAATCCAACTCGAGTTCATAACTTGAGTTTAGGAACTGAGTTCACAAATCGAGTAAACCCAAAACTTGGCTCCAGTTTTCGGCTAAGTTTACTAGACTTAGTCGATTAAGAACACTAGTTTTAGGGTTAGAAAAATATCAATATATGACGTTAAGAAGTCTCAATGAGAATTCAAAGAATTAACCTTTCTTGAGAAGTACTAACCGTAATTCACGGCAAAATATTTTTCCATATCATGATATAGCATACAAAATATTTTACGTAAAATAATTAATGCTATCATTCAATAATAACGCGATACAAGGTGGCGTCGTTATTTCCAAGAAAGTAAGTAACCGCGTTATTCTTTCAAACAAGTAACGAATTTACATTACTCGTTTTTTAATCATTTATTATATTGTTTAATGTTTAGCTTTATTATTTTAGAAAGATTATAAAAAAACAAGTAGTAAAAAAAATCTTTTAGAAGGTAAGACATTATTTAATAAAATTAAAAAATAATTCAAATGGCTAAGACCAATTCTTGAAGGCAAATTATAAATATAGGGAAAATTTTTCTAGTTTAAGTTGTATTGGCTGTCTCCGTCATTCAAGTATTGGTTGAGAGCATCTAGTGCTCAAACTCTCACTCCTCTGCTAAATCAAAAGAAAATTGATCTAAAACATAGAATGATTAATTGTAATTTGTAAAAGTGAATAAGGATCTTTTATATTAAATTACATTTATTGACCGGATTAATTATGATCAAATGTTTTTCTGACAGTATTTACTATATGTAATAATAAATATACAAAATGCATTCATAAATGAATGCACATGATTAAATTTTGTAATATTTTGATTCATTCTTGAAATATTATTTCGTCACTTTTTCTAGCAGTCGTTTTCTGGTTCAATTGAATAATCATTTTCTTCAAAAGAATCGTAAATACGATAAATGCTAATTTTGTTTTCAATCAATTTCGGTTCTTTGTATGAATATTACCCCATACGAACCAATTACTTTCTAAAAAATAAGTTGAACTTACTACTTCCTTAAAGGGCGGTGAACAAAGTTACTTATACCAGCTCGTTATCGTAATCTGATTAATGGTTATGGATTCTCCCGCAATCCACATATTGTTATCGAAGATATCGCTTTTACAACAAAAATTTATTATATCTAAAATGGCTTTAGTTCCTATTATCACATAGGCTTCGTCGAATTCATTTTTCGTGATATGTTGGCCTTAATATTGGAGATCTAATAAGTAAGCAGCATTATGAGTAGGGCTTTGCCGATATTAAATATCGGATCGGTACCGATATTCAGCGTTTTCCAAAAATATCAGATCGGACCGATACCTGTAAAAAATCCGATCCAATACGATTCTTTTACTAAAAATGCAATTCTTAAAACTTTTGAGTAATCAAACTTTGAATTATTATTACATCATATTTATTATTTTTTTAATCAAAAATAAATATAACAAAATATTTAAAAAATAATAAAATTTTCCGAGTTTCAGTGAGTTTCTATTTTACATTAATATTTTCTAAATAATTTTTTTTTAAACAATGCATGTTATTTATTTTTTTAAATAGATTTTAAAAGTTTTTTTATAAAAATAGAAAGGAACACCCAAAGTTTTATTTATTTTTCATATTTTAACACCAATTTTATTATTTATACTTTAAATAAAAGAATTATTTTAAATATGGTTTCTGAATTATGGAAATATTTTGATAAAGGTAAAGAGAATTTTACAAAATGCGTTATCTGCGGAATTGTAATTTCACGGGGAGAAATAATGAACAATTCATTTAATACAATTCGGAAACATTTAAAGCGATTCCATCAAGAACGAGAAATATTTAAAAAAACAAATCAAATTTTTAAAAAAGAGAGCCCTAAAAATCAGCCAACAATATCTGCCATTCTTAATAAAACTAATATTTTTTGCCTGAAAATCTAGAGGCCCTTATATTTATTTTAAAAAATCTAATATATTATAATTTTATATGTTAAATATTATAATTTAATAAACCAACATAAAATGGATATATTTTTATATTTATTTTATCTATTATATTAATTTTTTTAAATTATTGTTGAAATAAAAAAATTAAATTAAATGCATAATATTGCATAAAAAATATTGATTTCTTAATTACATTTGGTTGAGGGGTGGTGAAAAATGAATGTAAATATCGGATCGGTTTTGAACCAATATCGGATAGGTGAAAAATATGTGGATCTGCAGAGCCCTAATTATGAGCAGTTGTATTTAGATCATTTTTTCTTATTTTAAACAAATAATTTTTTCTTCTTCTACTGAGAAATAATTGGGTATTGACACAATTGAATAATATGTTCTGAAGTGGATTAGTTCCGTTTACTTCTTAATAATGACATCGCTAGGGATTGAGGTATATTTAAAACTTTCATCCAAAATTGTTATTCGTAAAGATATGATCATTTATTTCTCTTGGGAATATATCACAAACAGTTTCTTCAACAACGAACGCTTTTAAAGCTCTTTATCTATTGCATATATTTTATGAAGCCCACCTGAAATCAGAGACCCGAAGTGAACCGTAAAACCATTATAAATATCAGAACCTTAACCGAACCGATATAATTATTTTTTGAAGGAGTAAAAAGAACCTTTATAAAAAAGGTTAAACCTGTTCAGTTTTTACATTTTAGGAATCAAAAAAATTTGAATATCCAGAATTATATAAACTTGCTCTTATAGTACTGGCGGTTCCCGCAACACAAGTTTCTGTAGGAAAGGCCTTTTCGGGGCTAAAATTTGTGTTATCGTCACAACAAACAAATATGAATCCATTTAAATTAGAAAATATATTTTAAAAATGAGTTATTTTGAATCTTTTATATTATTTTTATATATAATTCATAGATGCTTATAATAAAAATAAATTAGACGATGGTGTTGCTTCAATAAAAAAAAATCTAACCGTAATGAACCATTATGAACCTTTATAATTAGCTGAACCGAACCTTTGTAAATTTTTTCTTAAGAACCGTAGTAACCAAACGTAACCATTATAATTTTTTACATACTAAACCGTAACTAATCTGAACCGTTATAAATAACGGTTCAAGTCCCTGCCTGAAACTAATTGTACTTAAAGTAGATGATATGGTATGTTGATTTCTGTAGCGGAAAATACTGCACTTGTTATATGTTTATTATTTTATAATTTAACAACTTTTTAATGATGGATATGTAAATTAAATAACTACTCGTTCAAACATCTTAAAATATTTGAACGGTCAAATATACTTCCGGTCAATTGATTATTTGACCATCTTACCATCCCAGGAATATAATTTAAATTCATTCATCAAATTATATTTTATAAATGATTTAATTTGAAAAGTTATAATAAAGTTTTGAAATATAGATAAGTCATATTACAAAAAAAACTTCATCAAAAAAATATTGATTAAAATGATGAAGGAATCACATCAAGTCTGAATAAGCCTGCACATATAAATCTAATTAATATATTTTTTAATTGTAATATCATATTTTTCGAAATATTTTTATATTCATTTAAATTTTAATTAAAACAGATCTAAATTGCATGGGTGCATTTTATTGGAATTTTATTTAGTTGAATTTAAGGTTGTTTGATTAATGCTCGCTTGTTCGCCATATTCTTTAATACATAAATGACAACTCCAATTACCTAAAAATTGAGAAAATGATTTTACATAAATATATAATTTTACCTTCAGGAGGTTCCGATAAAGGAGGTGTTAAACAATACATATGATAACCTCTATCACAATCATCGCAAAATAATAACTGATCCTAAATTAATATGTTGTATTTAATTATAAAAAAATATTGTAAATTTGAAATAATTAACAAAATTTATTATTTAAAACATTTATAACTTTTTCCTGAAAAGATTTAATCTTTTTTAAAAGATAATAACATTAATAAATATCAAAATGGGAATCAAGAAGAAATAAATTTCAATCGATGAGCTAAATTTATAAAAGACAGATATTTTTGATTATACCTCCAAAGTTGGAATTTTTTAATTTAACCTCACACTAATGTTTATTATGGATTTATCACATATTTATTTATATAAAGGGAATTAAATTAATATTTTTTTCTAATTTTTATACTTCAAATTTAATATAATTTTGATAAAGATATTTTTTCAATATTTTTTTATTTATCTTTGGAGGGAGGGGGGGGGAGGAGTAAAATAATAACATACATTACTACCTAAAATAGCGATTTCTTCATTCATTTAAATGTGTATCAACAATACCAGTTTTGCTAAAGTAGAGCGCAACTTTTTTCATCTAGCGGTAGCTTTAACGAGCTATATTTTTCATAAAATAATTGTAGCTCGCTACTAATTTAGAATGCGCGCTACAATTTTATATAATAAATACACATAAAAATTATTAAAATATATTTATATTTTTAAAATTAATTCTAAAATCATAATCTTTTTATTTTATTTAATTTTAAAATTTATATTTAAAAATATGAATTATAAATCTTACTTTCAAAATAATTAAAATTTTAAATGTCGACAATAGAGATTGACATTGAAGATAATTTTGGTACATATATTGACAAAGTAATTTCCCTGGAAAATGATGATAATTGAAATTTCCTATTCCTAAATTCGCAAAATATTTTGAGAAATTAACACTGGGTATAGGTTTCGTTGTAAGATGTGCCAAAAGCTTTTATCATCAAACAAGACTAGTAGTTTCAACTTGAGAAATTATTTATAGAGGTAATATATCAAACACTTTAATACTAAGTAGCCCAATTCTTAAACTTTAAAATAAAATTTGAATCAAAACTGTATCTAAAATAGTTTTTGAGCTAGTTGAGTTTATGTGAAAGTTTATTTTCTGGCCCATTTCAAACATTGGATGTTTCAATTGCATAAGATATTATAAAATTATATTATAAATTAAAAATTATATTAAATAATAATTATTAGCATCTCATTTTATCTTCAGACTATTAAATGATAATATTTTATAAATTATTATCTGGATGTTAGACATATCTGCTATAGTTCACCCAATTTCAAGTAGAATTAGCCATATATTAATTTGACTGATGATCGGTTAATTGTAACGTTAAATAATACTATATCAAACCAGGATACCCTAGCCAGATCAAAAACGCCACCTACAATAGATAATTTTTTTGAAATAAATAATACTTTTAAAATCTAAAAAATAATCAAATAAATAAACACTGATCAATAAAAATCATCTGGTGACCCCATTTTGTTTACCCATATAAATAAATTATATTAAAATTCTAAAAAAATCCGAATTTCATTTATTTATAAAATTTCTAATATTGTAAAACCAAAATGGCGTGTTATCAAATGATTTGTAATCAACAACGCTTTAAAATGTATTTTAATCAATGAATCGCCAGTCTAGGTAAGTATTATATGCCATTGGGGTAGATATATGATAAAAGTATGTGTATTATAAATAATAAAAATGTAATTACGTCATTATCAGAAGTGCCGCAGAGACCACAAGATTTGCATTCTATGCACTGCCATGGATAGCGTGTGATAGAGATGATGATATTAGAAGTGAACTGAAGACATGTAGGATGTCCTGATCTTCCACAATCGGAACACGATATAAGTTTCTCAGGCTGAAAAGTTTTCTTATTCATTTTTACATCCCCTAAGCAAAAATCGCAAACTGCCTTTTCTTTAATAAATGAAGAAGTGATATATTGTGCCGGGTCATTTTCATGTTTTTTCGAAATGTTATCGGTATTTATTCCTATATAAACAAATAAATGATGATTTCAAAAAATTAACAAATATTTAATCTAAACCAGTTGAATCATATTTTTTTCCTCGGGAAATATCTGGAATTATAGATTTTAGAGCTTCACCAGTTTGATCGTTTATATTTTGTTTATTAGTGATATTCAAGCTTGTATTTTTGATAAGTGTGTTTTCCATAATATTTTCCACATTTGATAATTTGTTGGGAAGATCTTTAGGGTAATAGCAAAAATCATCAGGGTTTTTAATAAAATTATTGTTATATATTGAAACTGAATTATTATCAACATCATCGAATATAATTTTATTCTTTGAAACACTTTCAGAATCCGTTTTAAATAAATGTTGGTTGAGATGTTGGATCTGAGCATTGTTAGAAATAATGTCATTTATTGTTAAATCGTGACCTTGTTTATTAAAATTTTTATGGTCATTTGGTAAGGGTTCATTTTGAACAGGTGTAGCTTTATTAATTGATTCATTTTTTTTAGAAGCGACTTTTTTTTTTGTATTAATATGATGCAAATGAGTATAATGATAATTCAATCCTGCTTTCGATTTATAACGAATTCCACATATCACACAAACGTGAGGCTTACTCAATACAAGTTCATCGTTAGGGTTATTAATGTCGTAAACGATTTCGTTTGTTTTAAAGCTCAGTTCAGTATCCTTTTGTGCTATAACTTCCCCAGATAAATGAGTATATTTTTTAATATCTATAGGTTGTTCATGATTTTTTTCGATAGAATTAGTGGGATAACTGTTTGATGATACGGTATTATAATATTGGGGATCAATTAAAGTGGCCATTTTATTATCGAATTGATTATGCTGAATGTCAGTTTTAATTTGTGAATTAGATTCTGAATATATAGTCGGTTGTGATATGTGGTTTAAAAAATCATTTCTAGTTATCACTTTATTGAAACTTTCGTTTATTTGGGTTACAACTTTTTTAGAGCAACTGCGAGTTAGCTAGATATAAATAAATGGTTAAATTTAGCGTATAATCCAAATTATATAAAATACGGCATTTATGTGTTTCCTAACTTTATATTGTGAATTTTATAATTCCCTAAAAACCCGATGGAGAAAAATGTAGCGAAATAATCCTATAAAAAAAGTGGCCAAAAAAATATAAAGAAGAATGAACATACAAGGAAATTATGACCATGAACTTCATAAAATTGAAAGGCATTTTTTTGGATAAATAAAGATCAAAAAATAGGCCTTATGGCATAAAAAGTGGTATAGGTGCATCTTGGATATATAGTATATTATATATAAATGTGGGGTAATAGGGGTTTAGAAAATTTGGGGTTTTAACAAATTCTTTATGCCAGATTCGCATTCTCTCATGAATAAAGTTACTACCCTGTGAATATTAGAAAATGTTGCCGTGAACTTCGAAATATTTTTTATGTAATATAGACAAAAAATACACAAAAATTCATAGCGAAATTCACAGGGTAGAATTCTAAAAATAATTTAATTTTTTAAGATTTGCTAAAATATCAGGGTTAAACCTACGATATATATATATCAAAGACCTATAGATGTGTCATTTGCACGGCCTTGCCTAGATTTTTTTTTTGCCCAGCCTGGAGACCCGAATTTTTTTAAAAAAAAAATTTTCAGATCCAGCCTGGTTTTTTATTAATATATTATATTTAACTTTAATTATAGCTAATGGCGATTTAAAATATTTGGTTTTAAAATAAACGGCCCAGCCTGGGTGATATTTATAAAAAAAATCCAGGCCCGTCTCTACTCGGGTATTTTTTTATAAAAATCTCAGGCCCAGCCAGGGTATCTTTAAAAAATTAAAATACGGCCCCGCCCGTGCACCCGAGCCAGGCGAGCTTAGGGCCGGGCCTGCAGTTCTCTGATATATATATGTATGAATTTGTATTGTATCGTTTTATTACTACCAGAAATTACGAATTTTTTAAATTAGTGTGAACGAGGTAAACACCCAGACTGAAATTTTTTTGATAGTAACCTCCACAAAAAAGGTAGTTTAGGAAAGAGGATAGGGTTGGAGCCCTTAAATTACGGCCTGAGTCCGGGTTAAAAAATTTCATTTAATTTTATGTCCAGTCCAAAGTCTAAGGTTTTAATTTATTTCAAACCAGTCTGCTCAAAATTCTATTTTTTAGGACCGACTATAAATTAAACTCATTTTTACAAAGATAAATGAATAAAAATAAATAATTGCTGTTTTATTATAATAAAAGTGAAAACATATTTTAATTTTCTTTTTAACAAATTTGAAGCCCGAGCTTAGCCATTTTTTAATTTAATTTTAGCCCGAGTCTTGGATTGACTAGCTGAGAAAAATGTGTGGATATGCATTTTAAGAAGATTGTGCCGTTGTTTAGTAGATTGTTATATGTGCACAAAGATGTTTTAAAAATGAGTGAATTTTATATTAGTGAAAAAATACAAATGCCGTATCATATAAAAACATTGAGTTTTTAATATTAACTGAAAATTATAAAAACTTTTTTTGATCTTTTTTTGCAACTAGAATTATTTGAAAAAGGATAGTCAACATCAGGATCACATTTATTATCATCACTTTCATCTGAGTCGTTGATATTATTCGATTTAATGTCTTTGCTATTTTCTGGGATATTGTTAATCGATTCAATACTCGTTGCAGCTTCGATTTTGTCTAGTCCTTTCTTAATCACATTAAAAGTATCAGCATCAAAACTGGCTTGAGAATTGTTCGTATATGTTTCAAAATTTGTAATAGAATTATTTTCATCTTGTTTGATAATTTCGAAACCCTTAATACGATTGCCATCTAATTCTTGATGAAAGATAAATAAAAGGTTCATAGAATAATAAGAAAGAAAAAAATTATATAAACTTAAATCGCTAGTCATAAAATAAATATTATTTAACGTATGGGAAGTTGCCATTTAGGAAAACTTTAAATCATTTTATGGCTAAACTATATATTTGGTTCCCGTTCTAAATCGCTAAAACAAAAATCGCTAAAAATTGGGAACATGGCTTATATCCCCTAGAAAATTTTTAAAGTAAATTTGAAATTAATATATGATATTTCTTCCATTTTGGCGATTTTTTTTAAATTTTCAATTTAAATACAAGTGTTTAGTCCCCTAGTATCTATTAATATTAATTTCAAATTTACTTTAAAAATTTTCTAGGGGATATAAGCCATGTTCCCTATTTTTAGCGATTTAGAACCTATCCCATATATTTTTTGATATTAAACGAATATATGGATATTCCTCCATATCATGAGATTACCTAGGTTACGACTTGCTAATGCTTCCAAGTATTTATAACCATTAGTACTATCCGCATTTTGTATTAAATTTATTCCAAAGGGGGGTTTAATAATAGTATTTTTAAAATATTTTAATTAAAGGTTCAAAAATTGATTGACGTGTTAATATTAGGGCTGTGCCGATCCATTTATTTTTCACCGATCCGATCCGATATTGCTTCAAAACCGGTCCGATATTTATACTGATTTTTCACCCCCCCCCCTTTGAATTAAATGTTATAAATCAATATTTTTTATGCAAAAAATCGAATTATGCATTTAATTAAAAAAATTTATTTCTACAATTAAGACTATAATTTGAAAAAAATATATTTAATAATATATCCATTATATGTTGGTATGAATTATAAAATTGTAATATTTTATATATTGTAATATTTAATATATAAAATCATAATATTAGATTTTTTTAAATATGGCCAGAGACCTGCAAAGGTATCATTTGAACGGCCCGGCCCGGATTTTTACGGCCTGGGCTTGCAATAAGCTTCTAGGATCTGGACTATCTATACCTCCTGCCATACTGAAGGCAGACTCAGATGATTCCGCAGATAACGCATTTTGCAAAATTATCTTTATCTTTTGTAAAATATTTCCATAATTCAGATACTATATCTAAAAAATGGCCTTATTATTTAAAAAGATTTAAAATAAATAAAACTTTGGACGTTTCTTTTTTTATAAAAAAAACTTTAAAATACTATAAATCTATTTTAAAAAAAAAAAATTAGAGGGTGTTGTGCATTTGCATTGTTTAAAAAAAAAATTTAGAAAATATTATAATAATGTAAAATAAATATGCATAAAAAAAAGAAAAGTAAAAAGATCGGATCAGTTTTTTACAGGTATCGGCCAGATCCAATATTTTTGAAAAACGTTAATATCGATGTCGATCCGATATTTAATATCGGCACAGCCCTAGTTAAAATTGTGGGTAAAACAGCTTCAGGTAAAGCTAAAGATATCCAAGCAATCAAGGCTAAATTTAAATGTCATCAGATTTAATAGATGAAACCTCTCATTTTCGAGGATAATTGTGAGAAACACCAGTTAAAATTTAACAATTTAATTTTTAAAATATTTTCTAATATACTTTTTAGAAATTCATGTAAATGATTATTAATTTTATTATTTTTTAAGAAAAAGATATAAAATATGTAAAATTTTTGGTAAAAATAAATATCTTTCTAAAAGAAAAAAATTTTGGTGTGAAATTTGTTTTTATTTTCTTAAAAATAATATCCATTGAACATTCTCATTCACTTAATTCTTACCTATATATTCTATAACGCTAGTTTTATAACTTGAAAAACCATAATATATGGTCAATAGTAACTTTTTATTTTCAATTCTTGTGTATATATATATATATACTATTCTATAATTATTCAATTTAGCTGACCTTTTATATAATGTTAAATATAAATACGCTATATTATTGTATAATAAATATATTATTAAAATAACATTAATATCAATCTTTTATTCGTTTTTTAAATTTTTTTTCATCTTTATCCTTCATAAATTATTATAAAAAGTTATGAAATGTTTTGCTTTTAGGAAATATTATTTTCTTATTTTTTATAGTATATTTTTTATTTATTGATTTTTTTTTAATATAAAAGAATATTTTATGCAATAATATTTGGTTGTCGCTTCTTTCCTATCTTTATTTTTTAAAATATTAATTAGGGATTGGTTGTTATTTAGACTGGGTGGCGGACTTTTGATAGAATTTTAACGAGCCGGGCCTGACATTTTGTGAATTTTGGGCAGGGCAAAATTTAACGGCCGTTCAATGTGTTCAGATTTCTTGTCTTAATAATAGTTTCATTTAAATTTTAGAATAACTTTAAAAAATCTTAGCAAAACTTATTAAATATTAATATCCTTTATTATATCTTTTAAAATCTTTAAAAAAGTTCATTATTTATATAAAGAAAAAAGAGAATTGTTTTAAATGAATTTGATTTAATCATGCCAAAAATAGCGCTAACTCTATTGATGTAATAGAAATAAAATGAGAATATAACTTGTGATTTTATAGAATTTTATAAACTTTCTAATTTACTAAAAGTTCGGTTCCAGACCTCAGAATAATATGCATGAATTTATTATTCATTTAAAAATTTGAATTAAATATGTTGTACATTCATATTTGTTTTAAAAAATTGAATATTATTAATTAAATTTGTAATCTATACAAAATGAAACCTTGGAATTTTAATTCGCTCTGTAAATGAATTTTATTAGGTCTGTTTAGTTTACGTGCTGGGTAAGAATAAATTTGATCATACCTTTTTCCAGAATTACGTTCAAAATTCATCATCCATAATTGACATTTATCGAGAGGCATACCTTAAAATAAATTTTATATTTTATTATAGTTGGAAATGTTGCTTAGAGTATAGGATTAAATATGAAATCAATTTATTTCTAAGAATTTAATTATAAACCAAGTTTGAAAGAATTCAAAAAAATTTTAAAATTTGAAGATAAATTTTTGTGATTTCATTATGAAATAATGCATAAAAATTACAGTAGGTTTAAAAAGATATATTACAAAAAAAATTAGAATTTTATGCAAAATTTATTGTTTGATCAGCTTACTAATTTTGAGATATAAAATAATAATAGTCTAGTATAGTCACTTTGTAATTAAGTTGCCATTTTAATATCGTTAATTTTTATTAATAAAAAATAATCATCTTAAAGTAATCAGCATCTTCGTAAGAGAAAATATTTTGGAGAAAAGCCCCCCCCCCTTCCCCAAACCCATTAAAATTGAACACCTTAAAAGTGATCAATTTGATATTCGCATTAAATTTCATCCTTGTAAGTGGCGAATTTACAGTATTTTCTATTGTTTTCGGACAGAAAATTATAGGCACAAAATGCATAAATAATATTTATATTTTATTCACTTAATTCGAATATCATGGAAAAAATAATAAAAAAAATGTCATTACTCCTATTTTTACCATTCTTTTGAACAAGTCTATTCTAAAAAGATTATTTCAATTAACAATAAAGGGAATGTTTATAAATTTATTTTTTAATATAAAGAAATGTGTAATTTTTTAAGAATACTTAAATATCCTTATTTTTACAAGGATAATTTTGCTTTATAAGATTTGGAAATTAATATATCATCAGAGTTGGGCAGTACCGCGAATACTTGTATCTAAGATACAAGATCCTTTTGTATCTTGTACTCAGTATCTTATTGACATTTTTAATAAGATACTAGTATCTGTATCTAAGATCTTTTATTTTGAAAAGAATCTTGTATCTTTTTCATTTTCTTTAAAAAGATACAGATACAGATTCTTTTTAATATTCTTGTTTAAAACATTTACATATCACACAATGTAACTTTATTTTCTTCGTGAAATCTTGTATTATTTTCTTTATTTTTTCCCGCTATATTTTAAATATATTGATAACCAAAATTAGTTGGAAATGTTATAGGTCACAAAGATAGACAGATTAAAAATAACAACACCAAAACTAAATAAGAGAAGGATATATTTTATATGTAATATTTTTTAATTTGTAAAATGTTTAACAATCATAGTAGTGAAGATGAAATTATGGAGATGGGTTCTCCTGAATCAAATCCGAATCTTAAAATTCTAGATGGAAAATTTTATAGTAATTCATGTGAAAAAGAACAAGGTACAAGCTGAATGTCAAAATTGCACAAGTAAAAAAGTTATTAAAGGTTCAACAAACTCATTTACAAACTTTGTTAAACATATTAAAGTATGTTATATTTTTATTTTATAATTATCAACATAATAATACCTATACTTAAGTCCCTCTTAGATAATTGTTATTAAAATTAATATAACGAAGATTTCTTTTTAGAAATACCAATATTTCCAATTTATCAGAGGTCAGCTTGCGGCGATAATAACTGTTAATATCACCAGCTTCACTAAAAGCAGATTCTGAAGAGAATCTCGCACACCTTTATAAACAGAATGCGCAAAAAAAATAACAATATGGCAGAATATTTATTAATTAATTATTAAACATAATAATTTTCTTTAATGCATTTTAAATTGATTAAATTTTGTAAATAAATACTGTAATGTAATTTTACTTATATCATAAATAAATAAAAGTAACTAATAAAATTAAATTCTACCTTATTATAATTATTTTATTAAGAGTCTTTTAAAATTATCTAATATTTTTATATATCAATTATAGCTTAAATATTTTCTCTATTAAGAACTTGCTAAAATAATTATATATAAAATATATTAGGGATGTCCGATTTTTTTATGGGATCGGGCCGGTTTCACCCATTTTAAAATATTGGTTATCCGCCAATATTATAAAATTTGATCCGATATAAAATGGCTTCTTTAACAAAAATAAAATGTTATCAAATTTTAAAAAAAATTATATATAAAATCATTTATTTTTATAAATAAAATCGAAATCCATTTTTATGTATATTTTTTTAATAATAATTATGTATTTAATAATTATAATATAAAGTTGTACATTATTATGATATTTTTTATATATAATTTATGATTTTGCAAGAAATATATAAAAAAAATTTGAAAAGAGATTTAAATGATATTTATATATATGATATTACAAAGGCAAGAATTAATAAGTCATATTAGAAAATAAACTAATTTAAATAATACATAAAAATCACAAATAAGTAATGATAAATACTTATTAAAGATAATGAATAAAATAAAACTAGTATATTTTTTTTAGAGATGCCATTTAGCCATATACTCCAAATATAATCTATATTTAAAACAACACAGAAAATAACCTGCACATTCTAATAAATCATTTGATTTAATTTTTTTTCTTATTTGCAAATTTTCAACTCCCATTAAATATACTACTCTCCCTTCCCTGTTTAAGCTATTAATGGGAAAAAACTAATATTAAAATCCCTGGTTATTATAATTAATTTATTAATAAATATTTTATTAATTATTGCAAATATTCATTCTTATATGTGTATGCTATGTTCTTCACAAATAAATAATAAAAACTGTATTTTATAAACTATTCTAATTTAATTGGTATTTATATTTTAAAAGTATCTTGTATTTAAGATACTCTAATTTAGTAAAAGATACAAGTATCTTTTATCTTGTATCTTTTTGATATTTTGAAAAAGATACTAGTATCTGTATCTAAGATTCATTTTTTTATAAAGAATCTGTATCTGTATCTAGATTCTTTTTCTGGAGGACCTGCCCAACTCTGTATATCATATACTTTTACTGAAGAAGTTTAAAAGAAAGACATTTAGTTATTTTAGTCCATCATTGTGTCATCTTAAAACACCAAAAGGAAATCTATACAATGATAATAAAAATGTTAATTAAAACTTGAAAGGAATATATTTTATTGATGAGTATTTCCTTTTCCTTAATGGTAGATTCTAATTTTAGTCACCAAATTTATTGAAATATACAAATAATAGCATGAAAAAAATTTTTATTTAAATAAAATTATTGACTTATACTTATATAATGTTGTAAATGAAACAAAAATATAATTTTAATTAAAATGGAAAAGCTGATACTTAAGTCTTTACAGATACCATAGCCAATACTAACTAATAATAATGTCAAAAAAATTTTTATAAACATTTTGATAATAATTTCTAAACAGATATAAAAAAAAAAGTTACTATTAATCTTTAATTAAAAATAAATAAAAAATGAAATTGAAATGCACAATTTTATTGGTAGCAACTGATGCTATATTAATTAATACCCTGTTTTTATAAATTTGTATTGACTATTTTAAAAAAAAATTCTATAATTGAATCTCCAATACAGAAAAAATATATAGTTTAACAAATTATTACCAGTGTGTGAGTCAAAGAAGGGAGCTCTGTTAAGTTTCTTTTCATGTAAATGTCTATTATATATAGCAACATGTTCCATTGCTAAATTATAATTAATATCTTTTGATATAGCCTGCATTTTTTTTAATTAAGATTTTTATTGATTAAGTTAGAAAAAAAAGTGAGATACGACGTCAGTCAAACTATACCAATTTGCTTTAACAATCCAAAATTTTTTTCAAATGCAATAACTCAACGAGGTAGAATGACAAATCTAACATTTGTTTTATTCATTATTAGAGTTGAATAAAATAATATATTAATGGTAAATTACAATGTGTTAAAAAGTAATAATATAATTTATATAATAGTATATTTGTTACATTTCTAATTTTTCAAATTATCTAAATATTATTTATCTGATATCATAAGAATAAGAAAATGTTTCAAAAAAATTGATTCTTATCTTTGTTTTGTATTATAAGTAATTATTTGATCTGTCTGGTAGATAGGATAAATAATTATTTGAATAAGAATAATGTTATCAAATACATTTAGGGATTACCTCATTTTAATGTTTTACTATTTATTATTTTACCATTTTATTTTATTTGGGATTTTTTTAAAGTTTATATGAAATATCCCCCTTTTTACGGGCTTAATTGTTTGAAGATCTTGAATTTATTCTTTGTACTATTTTTAAAAAAAAATATTTTATTTTAACCGTTATTTACGTATTTACGCCAGTTTTTTTAACATTAATTTATTATACATTTTTGTGTGTTTAGTTTTAATTTCTTTATTTCCCTTAAAATGGATTGATTATGCTAAGCTACCTGAGTAGATTTCATGAGTTGGCTCGATGAGTCAGCTTCAAAATCGGCTCAAATGTATTTTGAATCGGCCTGCTATTACTATTTACACTACGAGGAATATATTAAAAAATTTTAACCACTTTTTGGGGGGGAAATTATTTATATCTAAATTCGAAAATCGAGGACTTAAATGTAATGTTTTAGTAAGAAGATGATCGATCTATTATTACCTACTCCTGATTATAATTAAAATTCCACTATTTTGGTTTAAACTGAATTAAATGGCTTGAAATAGAATGGAGTTCTTTTCTATGTTTATAGTCGGAAAACACTTTGTCTTCTATTTTAATAGTATTATTATTTAAAATATCTATTTCTGTAAAAAAGCTATTTACGTCCAAATAATTTTTCCAGAACTTTTTAAACTATTATTTTTTTAATTACATCTTTTAAATATATTCCATTTCGTCCTTTGGTGTAAAGCAGATGAGACTGGGGATATGTGCCAATGTTTTTCACTCGCGACTGATAAAAGATTCAAAGATAATTTAATTTTAAAAGTTCTGCAAAAATTATTTGGACTTAAAAAGTGTTTTTTTCTCCTAAAAGCATTTTATGATATCGATGCATCTTTCCAATTGAACTATCTAGTTTAGATCTAAATAGGTTAACATACAATACTATTTACACGGTAAACCATAACCTTAAAGATGGAGGGAGGAGAAATTAGCGTGTTCACCTAAATATCAATTTTAAAATTTTTAGAAAAAAGCATTTTTAAATTTAAAAAAGTGAAAGCCCAAAATTACCATTATAAAAAATATAACACCAAAGTCTACAAAAAATGAACCTGGACCTAAATTTATGGCAGAGAATTCCGCCTAATAATAATTCCCCCCCCCATACATCTCACGTCAATACCGCGAAAATTTTAACGCAAAATGTATTATCGCGAATACATTACTGCGAATGTTGATTACCGGGAAAAGATATTATAGCTAATGCATTATCGCCGCAAATACATCATAGCAAAAACAGTGTCGCGAATGCATTATAGAGATTGCATTACCGCGAAAACATTATCGCGAATGCATTACAGCGAATGTATTACCGCGAATACAATATCGCGAATGCATCATAGCGAATGTATTAGAGCGAATGCATTATCGCGAAATTATCATCGCGAATGCAATGTATTATCGCGAATGCATTATCGTGAATGCAATATCACCAATGCATTGAGTATTAAAATTCATTGCTATTTATCCACCTACTTTATAATATGGAGTTCATAATTAATATGTTTTTATTTTAAAATATATCCGAAACCATAAATTTGTTACCTTTTGGAAGTTCCTGGTCGATAATAATTTTCCACAGAACCCCTTTTCTCTAAGGAAATTGTTAAAAGTGGATTAATAAATGATAAGTTCGCTTCAGCTTGTTTAATTAATTTTAATATCCGTCTATGCTTGCCTTTAAAACTTTTGTTTTATATCTTTCTATAAAACCTCCTTTAGTCTGGAAGAATACACATTTAAAAAAATATGAGTAAAATTTAAAGATCTTTTATTTTTAAAATATTTTGAGCAACGATCAAAGATCCTTGTATTTAAAAATATTTTAAATCAACGATCTTCAGAAATCTTCATTTATAATGTTATAGTAAATTATTATTTTTTAAATAAAAATTTAATAATGATGTACCGACAATTTTCATAATCGTTATTTTTTTAAAACTTTTTTTGGCATATATGGGTAAAAATTTATATTTTGAAAAAAATTTATATTAAAATTTCAATGAAGATATTAATGTAAGTAACTCAGAAAAGTGACAATTGTAATAATCGTTATTTTTTAACTTATTTGATATATTGTGTCGTAAATATGTTATAATTTATATTATTAAGATGTAAAAATAAAATTTTAATAAAGATGTACCATAGAAAAATGACAATTGTCATAATCGTTATTTTTGAATTTTTTGGAATTTTTAAAGCAAATCGGTAAAAATAGATATTGTTATCATGTTAAATTAAAATTGCAGTGAAGATACAGGAAAGTGGCAATTGTCATAATCTTTATTTTTGAACTTTTTTGAATTTTTTTAAGGCAAATGGTAAAAATAGATATTGTTAACATGTTAAATTAAAATTACAGTGAAGATTTACTACAGGAAAGTGACAATTGTCATATTTTTGAACTTTTTTAAATATTTTTAAGGCAAATGAGAGTAAAAATAGATATTGTTAACATGTTAAATTAAAATTGCAGTGAAGATGCACCACAGGAAAGTGATAATTGTCATAATCGTTATTTTTTAACTTTTTAGATTTTTATTGACGATAATAGGTTAAAATTTATATTATCAAGATGTAAAATTAAAATTTCAATAAAGATATACCAAAGAGTGACAATTTTCATAGTCGTTATTATTTAACTTTTTTTATTTTATTTGAGGATAATAGGTTAAAATTTATATTATTAAGATGTAAAATTAAAATTTCAATAAAGATATACCACAGGAAAGTGACAATTGTCATAATCGTTATTTTTGTACTTTTTATTTTTATCAGAGACCTGCAGGCCGGCCTAACCGGCGGGCCGGGCCGTATTTTAAATTTTTTAAATATACCCGGGCCGGGCCTAAAAAAATTTTTTTAAACATATCCGGGCCGGGCTTAAAATTTTTTTTTACTATATCCGGGCCGGGCCTAAGATTGTTAAACCCGGGCCGGGCCTTAATATTTTTTATAAAAATTTTTACATTATGAGTTAATGGTTATAAGATTATATTATATTATAGTTATGATTAATATAATATTAGGTGATGGTTAACACTACCTAACAACCCAAAGATCGATCTAATTATTAATTTCCTGCAAATTTATTCAAAGTATTAATATATTTTTTTATAATTCATATCTAAATTTTTACAACATATTTTACCAAAACAATGAAATAAAGGAATATCTTAAATAAGCCCCAATATTCAAGTATTATTAATATATTTTTTTATAATTCATATCTAAATTTTTAGAATATATTTTACCAAAACAATCAAATAAAAGGAATATCACTTCTTAAAGTTTGTAATACCTTTCAAAGCGAAAAGGAGAAATAAAATTGATTTTACTTAATATAAAGCATTTTTTAATTGAAAAATTTGTTTTACACAAGTATCATTTTATTTCTCTTTTTCTCTGTCGCAAATTCAAGCAATTACGTATGTAGTCAGGGACAGATCGCAAAATGACGGAAAACTATATAAAAGATTATATTAAATTACAAGAGGCACAGGAAGTAAATGAAATACCATCGACCAGTCAAATTACGACTGTTGTTAAACAAACTGAATCGTTTTATGACAAATTGGGGGGGGGGGGGGAATTCTGGTAATATGTCAATACCCGATGATGAATATTATAATTAAATAAATAAAAAAATAAAAAAATAGATGAAACATTTAAGGTGGATAATTTGTTAGAGTGGTGGGCGGCTCATCAAAGCGAATTTCCAATTTTAGCAAAATTGGCAAAACGGGTATTGGCAATTCCTGCTTCAAGTGCAAGCTGTAAGCGGAATTTTTCCACTACTGGGAGAATTCTTGAAGAAAGAAGAAGTAATCTTCAACCTGAAAAGGTAGATATGCTTCTCTTTCTTCATGATAATTTGTGAATTTTTAATATCTTTCTTGAGTATAGGGTTTCGTCAATCATGCTGGTTTTTTACTTTGCAAACTGTCAAATATTTATTGCATTTATTATATTTACCTTGAGTCATGAAAGTTTTTAATCCAACATTTTTCATTATTTTTTTTTACAATATTATATAATACAATTAATTATCTTCTTTTGTTAAAAATTTATATTATAAAATAAATTATATTAATGTTGTGCAATTAGATTATATTTTCAAAATACTATTTATTATACATGAATTTTTTTAAATAGCGATTTATTTTTATTTTATAAATTAAATAGTAAATTAAATAGTAAATTAAATACAATATATTATATTCTCAAAATATTTTCCATTTTTATAAATTAAATATTAGTTTTATTTTTTTTAAATGTAATATAAAATATAGTATATGACAAATATTATTACCATTTTTATGAATATTAGTTTTATTTTTATAAATGCAATATAAAATATAATATATGCTCAAAATATCCATTTTTATAAATAACAGTTTTATAATTTTTATAAATTCAATATAATATTCTCAAAATATTAGCTTTTTACATGTATTTTTTAAATAATAAGCGATAATACTCGCTGAAAAATATGGTAAAATACCTCATAGGTGAATTTTTGTATATACCAGGTCGAATATAATTTTAAAAAATTCCGAGCCGGGCCTTAAATTCTTAAATCCGG